TAGTTCACGCTCCAGCCATGGACAAAGCTAGCCACTGCTGTCTCTCTGACTATGCATGGATGACCCCGCAATACATACATAACATGGCTGGAGGTCATGTACATTGTCAATTTTCTACACAAAGGGATAGAATTATTGATCGTTGGTAACCCCAATTCATAACACATATTTTCTATGTCTTACGTGTCAGCAGGTATCGTTGGCCAACGAAACTTGGCTCAGGACAACGATATCACAATGCACGCCCATGCCACTTGTTCCTCATTTTGGTACAATGCCAGCCATGTATAACATCAATATATGATGCCGACCATGGCCAACAAGCAAATAAAAGTAGCGAATATTTATCCACATAGTTCCCTTCAACATACGAGGGTGTTTCCTTCTTCACTGCATATGCCTATATATTTCTTATTCGTAAATATATACTCACATGTGCCTTGCTGTTACTGTAGATAAACACAAGTCTATGAATCCAAGCTCATGGGAATTATTTGGGATAAACTATAGGAGTAGTGGCTTAGTAGGCATGGATGAATGAACGTTGCCCGTCTGGCGAAGCAAGGCATCCGCACCAGCGGAGCTTGGCGCTGGCGATGCTGCCCAACTTCGCCAGAAAGGGGTTGGGTGGCGAAGACATGGAAATGAATTTGATTCTCGAAATAGTGTAGTTTGATGCTAACCGAAGGTTGGAAATCCCGCCAGAAACTAACCAGAGATGCTATCTTGGTCACCATCAGCAACTTATAGCTATATTTAATGCAAAGGTGGCTACACAAGTTCCATGGCCTTGGAAACTCTTGTAAAATATTACTATTTACTTGTAGAATCTTCGAAACTCTTGTGCAGAGCTTGGGGAACTTACCAAATCCTGTGTAGATGTTGTTTTTGTCGGCTGCACTGAAGCATGTCCCCGAAGATGGGATTTCGTATGGCTGGGGGCATTGCCAGAAATATACAATTTCCAGTTTTTCGCCAAAACCAACAAAGCTTTGCTGGAATCATTAAGCAATTCATGATGCCACTGTCACAGAGTTGCCAGCAGTGCCTAGAACCATCGAAAATTCGACAACTCATTCCAACCCGTATGCACACCTCTAAGCCATCAACCAGAAATTACAACAATACTACTGCATATATATATAAATTATCTACCTTTCATTTTCAAGAAGATAAAGACGCATACAGTAAAAAAATAGATTCACTCACCAAAACTCCCATTTTTCCCTAAAGGAAAAAAAATATTCCATCTTCAACCTCTTGCCTTGCACACTGAAACCATCAGGAAATCACCATTCTCTCGGATTTCCCATGTTTCCAGCTTTGCAGAACATTCTCCAGCTCTGCAGAATATTTTCCAATACGACAGAACATTTTCCAGCACTGCAGAATATCACCCAGCATCGTAGAATGTTCCCAGGTTTGCAAGATGTTACGGCTAGGAAACAACGAATTGTAGTTCCAGCTTCTTGTTAGTTCTTCTTGAGTATCAAATGATCAAGGTTTCAAGATTAGCATCAAAGACAGGATCAAATGCTCCATTCGTAAGCTCCCAAGCGGTCGTCCTTCCTTTTCCCATCACCACTCTCAAGTTTATCCTTTTTTCTTCGGAAGAATCTCAAGAGTGAAGTTGTTGCACTTTTCATTTTCAATATGAGAATTGTTTGTTATATAGTAGAGATATACACTAGAAATGAAGGAGGTCATGTTTATTATCATTATTATCATATCACAATGATATGTGTATGAATATGACTCTCTAGTTGTAATCCTTGAACCACACATATTTTACATCTTTGCTACCCCTCCTTAACAACATACAACTCCTCCCTATCATGTTTTTGGTAGTTGTGTAATCATCTTGAACCCTTGGAATCTTGTCATTGCTGCCTAACTCCACCAACTTGGCTGAAAGATTTATCTTTCTAAAAAGCTTCGTTGGAGAGTTCACTATAAGACATTATTGCTTAACAGAGTGGGATGGCTCGTATCACGTAGCATTCCGCACGTGAGACGAGTGCCGCCGGAAGACCCCTCTATTTTCTCGGGTGTCATCCTTGTTAGCTTCCATGTCATCACCATTGCTGACTCATCCATCTACATCACTAACACCCTCGAACAAATATCATGTGACATTATAAGTTTATAATATGATATGTTATTATATACTTAATTTTTTTATTTTTAGTTTCATTCATAATTTTGTATATATTTACTTATTTAATATTATATCATAATCATTTAATATCATATTATGATTGTTATTTATTAACTTGCAATTTGACATAACATTGTAATATAATATTACTGAAAATAAATATAGGAAATTATTATTTATCTATCTTATATTTTAAAAATTAAAAAGGAAGTTACTCTAAAACTATATCATTTAAATTAAATATTATTAAAAAATATAAAAAATAATATAATTCATGCTACTAAAATAAGGTATTTTAATTTTTTTAATAAAGACTTATTAAAATAATATAATTTTAAGATAATTTTCACAGTTAGAAAGTTGGTGAGATGAACACTATTTCCTTAATATATTTATCCACGAAATAAATTCGAGTGATTGAATTTACTTGGCCCAACCCACAAGCTCAAATTGGACAGGTCTGCAACTCAGATCAATTGGGCCAACTATCATATCGCAACTCGCAAGCTCATCACTCCTGCTGTTAAATCTGCTGATATTTTGGACAAATAATTCGGTAATAGCGTCTTCCTTGTTTCAACACCTCCAATTTCACGTAAATGAAAACCATTTGTAGATTCAAGAACGGGAGATTCTTTAATGCCTTTGATTTCTGTTACAAGAACTTTTCTTCTGTAGCTGCTGCTAAAATGGAGACTCAAATCCGAGAAGAAAAAGTTTGGGAAAGTTTAACCGCTCAAGTCTCGGCCTTGCACTCCCTCTTACAGTCGTGCGCAAGAAATAGAGCCGCCATTAAAGGGAAGGCTTGCCATGCAAAGATAATCATTTGGGGGTTACACGCGGCCGTTCGGACATCGAACATGGTCATAAACGTGTATGCAAAATGTGGTCTTTGGAGTTCTGCTCGGAAAGTGTTTGATAAAATGACTGAAAGAAGTTTGGTTTCGTGGAATACGATGATTGGTGCCTATACCCAGAATGGGCTGGAGAAAGAGGCTTTTGAAATTTTCATTTTCATGCTAAGAGAAGGAAACCCATTTAGTGAATTCACAATTTCAAGCATTCTATGTGCTTGTTCTGCAAAGTTTGCTGTTTCTGAGTGTAAACAGTTGCATAGTTTAGCTATAAAAGCTGCCACAGATTCTAACGTGTTTGTGGGAACTGCATTGCTTGATGTGTATGCCAAATGTGGTTTGGTAAAGGATGCTAGGGAGATTTTTGAGAGCATGCCCGAGAAGAGTGTTGTTACATGGAGTTGTATGGTTGCTGGACTCGTGCAAAGTGAGCTTTATGAAGAGGCTTTGCTTTTGTTTCGTATGGTTCAGAGAATTGGATTAGAACTGGATCACTTTACATTTTCTTCCATTATTTGTGCTTGTGCAGGCCTTGCAGCTTTGATTGAAGGAAAACAAGTGCATGCTGTTTTACATAAAACAGGATTTGATACAAACATATTTGTTACTTCGTCACTTATAGATATGTATGCCAAATGTGGTAGTGTTGGAGAGGCTTATGTTGTGTTTACAAGTACCAAAGAGAAAAACATTGTTTCATGGAATGTGATGATTTCTGGTTTTGCTAAACATGCCTGTCCCTTGGAGGCAATGGTTTTATTTGAGAAAATGCAGCAGATGGGTCTCTACCCTAATGAGTTGACATACATTTCTGTCTTGTCTGCATGTAGTCATGTGGGTTTGGTTGAAGAGGCACAGAGCTATTTTGACCTTATGACAAGAGAGCACAAAATTACACCTACTGTCATTCACCACTCGTGTATGGTTGATATTTTTGGGCGCGCAGGAAAGACTTGTGAAGCTCATGATTTGATAAAGAGAATGCCATTTGATGCCACTGCCCCCATGTGGGGATCACTTCTAGCATGTTGTAGGGTCCATGGGAATCTTGAGTTGGCTGAGATTGCAGCCAAGCATTTATTTGAGATGGAGCCTGATAATGCAGGCAACCACATTCTGCTTTCAAACATATATGCAGCCAACAGAAAGTGGGAGGAAGTTGCAAGAGCAAGAAAGTTTCTTAAAGAGAGTGATGTGAAAAAGGAGAGGGGTAAAAGCTGGATTGAAATTAAGGACAAGGTCCACACATTCATGGTTGGAGAAAGAACTCACCCAAGGATTTCTGAAATCTATGTAAAATTGGATAGCTTGGTGGAAGAGATGAAGATGCTTGGCTATAAAGCTGAGACTGAACATGAACTTCATGATGTGGAAGAGGGTAGGAAGCAAGTACTTTTGCTACACCACAGTGAGAAGCTAGCACTCACTTTTGGGCTATTGTGCCTGCCTCCTGGTGTCCCTATTAGAATTATGAAAAATCTTCGGATTTGTGTTGATTGTCATTCTTTTATGAAGCTTGCGTCAAGCATTGCAGCAAGGGAGATTGTTGTCAGGGATGTTAGCAGGTTTCACCATTTCAGGGATGGATGTTGTTCTTGTGGGGAGTTCTGGTGAAATATGAGTTTTGCAAAATTGCAACTATGATTTGTGGTCCTCGGTGTTTCCATTTGTTTGTAAAAAGAAAGGTGAAAAGATCAAGGGCAGTGCTCATCAATCCTTGGATCAGAAGCTAAGAGAAAATTTATGATACAAATGCATACATTTGCAGTACCTTGGACTAAGAAGCAGCTATGGTGGTGGACTACAAGACTTTGGGCAATCCAAAAATCCTAGACATCAAAATAAAAGACCTGATGGTAATTTGATGTTTACATATCAGTAATTTTCCTATTATCCATTTCAAATATGGAGAATCTCTGTTTCTCTCTCCTTGTGTTCTCATGCTTGTTTTGATAAGGGTTACAATGTCTTTGATTCAGAGCAAAATTGTGAATCTTGATCTTATTATCTATTGGGAAACAAAGTTTTAACAGGCTTCTCTCTGCAGGTCAAATATAATGCACTTGACTTTGGAGGCATAGATCTGAAGGCTGAAAGAGAATCAGATCTACATGACATCAATGCTGCTGTTGCCCAAGAACTCAGGCATTGATTCTGGAATTTGTGTAGGAAATAGATTGGACTTTTCTCTTGTCGCTCTGAAGGTATGGTTACTCTAAATCCCTCCTAGACCATTATCCAACTGAAACTGAATTCATTGCTCTAACTTGAATCTGCCCTTCTCTAGGTATGATACTTGGGCTTGGGCAGGGATAAGATTAATAGCATAAAGGGATGGAACAACAAACCAAGATGAAAAAGTCTATTGTGATGCATAAAACCAGGATATTTGAGACTGAGAAGAGAAGAGAGATGAGAGAAAATAAATGCTCTCGTGTGCATTTGACTGCCAAAGTTATCAAAATATACACTTTACCAAAAAAAGAAAAAATTACATACTCTGATGTGTATGAAACAGCTTGTTATTAAATTCTTTTTGCTTTGAGAAAGGAAATAAACATTCTTCATTGTTGTAATAAAAGATTCACTAACTGAAGTTTTCAAGTTATCCCTTTTTTTCCACCTTGAATAAAAAATGACTAGTTTGCAATGCAAATGTGAAATTAAAATCAATAAACAACTTTTAATAATTTTTTTTTTTTATTTTCGTTACAGAACGGGAGACAATTATCTCTTATTCCTTATCTCACACCATTCGCATGTCATGCAACTCAAATTTAGAATCTCTTACTTCTAATGGGAGGAGATGACCACTGAGATACTTAAGTCGTTAGTTTTAATAATTAAAGTTTAATCTAATCAAATACTGAGATTAAGGATATAATAGATAAAATAAAAACGGTGGGGACTAACCTCGAACATCTGTCAAAAAACGTGGTCTAAACTTGTAAATCAATCAATGACCCACTGACAATTCCGGATTTGGACTCAAGACCCGGCCCAATGAAAACCCTAACAAGACCTCCCTCTATATCATTAACCCCCGGCTTTTCCTCTCTTAGCAGCAGTCGTAGCTTCCCTCTCTGCCTCCGTTTTCCTGCTTCATCGCCCTCACTTCCTGGTGCGTTTTCTAAGTAAATGGTTTGTTTGGTTTCTTAGAAAATGTGAGAAAGTATAAAAGAAAATTGCTCATGCTGATGTTCTTTTTCTTTGTTTTCTAAGTAAATGGTTTGTTTGGTTAGTCTTCACTTCCTTAATCGAAGTGAAGACTAACCCTAGTTCCACCGATTGAAATCGTTGTTTTAGGTTTAGATTTGTGCCTTTGTCTCGATGTATGTGTTACCTTAAATCGCTGATTTCAAGAGATCTGTAATGTGGACTTTGCTTCTTTTTTGGCTGATCTCTTTGATTGCTTGAGCATAGAAACGGAAGGGTTTAGTGTTGATTGAATATTTTGTGTCCCATCCATTGTTTTTCTTGGTTACCAAACAGCAGTATAATTTATTTTGAGATTGGTGTTTCTGATTTTATTGAAAATTGTGTCCAAGGTGGTTCTCTTTCTCAGATTGCTTGTCTTATTTTAGGTTTATTGTTGGATGTTTCTTTAGATAATTTTATAAATTGTTCTTCAGATAATTTGTCTTGTTGATGTGAATGTCCTTTCTTTATTATCAGCTAGCAAAAACAAGTATCAGTTTTGGATTTCTGTTCAAAAAACCTTTGGATTTGTTTGATTTCTTTTGTTTTAATGATTATAGAAAGCACTGAATTTGAGCTATGGGTAAGTCTGTGCATTAGATATTCATATTATAATTAGAGTTAAGTTTGGCCCTCAATGGCCTCATCTGTTTTGGTAAGTCAAATGGTTATCATAGATTTAGTGACAATTTTGAATTCTTTTCTTTACTCGGATTGAATTGTTGATCATGGTAAGTTAAGCTCATGACTTGGATTCTCCATTTTCATTAAGTGTTTGGAGAATCCATTTTTGGATACTTCATTCTCCTTTTCTTTTTCTTTTGAGATGCAAAAAATTCAATTTAGTGTTCTTTAGCTGAGAGTCATTTTAGTTTGATTCCCTATTATCTCATTGCAGCAGCAGCCAGCTTATTCTCAAAGATGGGTCGTGTTCGCACCAAGACAGTGAAGAAGTCTTCACGCCAGGTGATTGAGAAGTATTACTCCAAAATGACCTTGGACTTCCACACCAACAAGAAGATCTTGGAAGAGGTTGCCATCATCCCTTCAAAGAGGCTTCGCAACAAGATTGCTGGGTTCTCCACCCACTTAATGAAGAGGATTCAGAAGGGTCCAGTCAGGGGTATCTCATTGAAGCTTCAAGAAGAAGAGCGTGAGCGTAGAATGGACTTTGTCCCAGATGAGTCAGCTATTAAAACTGATGAGATCAAGGTTGACAAGGAGACCCTTGAAATGCTTGCTGCCCTTGGCATGTCTGGTCTTCCTGGCCTCAGTGAAGTTGAACCCCAGGTGGTTCCTCCTCCAGTTTTCAGCCGTGGAGGTGGTCAAGGGAGAAGGTACTGAGGTTATCAAGACCGTGCAGTCATCCGAGCTTGAAAAGTTAAGATGTTACTTGTGTTTTCGGTGGTAGTTACTTTTTGATTATTTGTGTTTTGGACGGGTTTTTATTGTGGAATTGTTGAATTTGAACATGGAGGATCAGTAATTCTGAGTTGAATTTATGCTAAATAGCCTAATGATTTTCGTTTGTCTAAGAAATTGATGAAATGTGCAAACATCTTCTCTTTCAAACCTTTGGGCTCCATGTCTGAAAGACAAATATCTGATTGGGCTCGGCCCACAGACATTTCTAAACTGGAGATGGGCTCAGCCTAATTTTCAGCAGCTATTTTTTGGACAGTTGTGGTCAGCCCAATTTCTTAGCTTTTTTAAATGGCAGAAGTTTCACTTTTTTCGATTCAGAGCGATTAATGGATAACTCACTGCGATTGCGCGCTTCACACTGCCACCCACTCCCACTTCCCTTCTCCGCTCCTAAACCCCTCTCTTCTGCTACCACTGCCACTTCTGTCTCATTCTCTCCCAAGCCGGAACCACCTTCTCCGCCGCCTCAACCTCCGGAGCCCGGCATCCGTCGTCCCCAAATACTCAACTCTACCCCGGCCCCTGAACCTAGTCATTCTCCTACAACTCCTTCACCCAAAGTCTCATCCAACCCTCTCAGAGGCCTTACTCAGCTCTCCAATGTTTGCCCCTCGGCTAATAATACACCACACTCCATCTCCTCCAAACTCCGCCTCTCCAGCAAACTTTCACCTCCTCCACCTCCACCCCCACCCCCTCCTTCTTCCCCACAGAAATCCCAGAATGAAACGCAATTTTCCGAACCTGAAAGTGTTTCTAGCGAACCTGAGGGTCCCTCTCAATTCCGCGAAGAGGGTAAGATTTTCATTGGAAACCTCCCTAATTGGATAAAGAAGCATGAGGTTGCCGAATTCTTCCGCCAGTTTGGGCCCATAAAGAACGTGATTTTGATCAAAGGGCATAATGAAGTGGAGAGAAATGCGGGGTTCGGGTTCGTCATGTATGGGGGACCGTTGGCAGATAAGTCAGCGATGAAGGCAGTGGAGTTTGACGGGGTGGAATTTCATGGGAGGATTCTGACTGTGAAGCTAGATGATGGGAAAAGGCTGAAGGCGAAGGCAGAGGAGAGGTTTAGGTGGGTTCAGGGGTCTGAAGGTGAGGAGTATCGGTCTAAATGGCATGAAGATAGGGAAGGCTCCAGGAAGGCCTTTCGAAAGGTTTTGGAGACTGAACCTGAGAATTGGCAGAAGGTTGTCAATGCTTTTGAGAGGATTAGGAAGGTCAGTTGCCTCTCGGAACACTTGGTTCATAGGCATTTTGAATTAAATTTATGTTAATGGTATTCATTTGCGTAGAATTTGATATGGGGAAGAATAAGAGAATATGGCTTTTTAGTTTTTTGGTCGCTTGTCAATGGGGATGTGATCACGTTAAACAACTATATATGTTCAGGCCATTTGATTTTTTCTGTTGTTTCTCCTTCATAACTCATACCAGCCCTCTAGGAGAGAGTTTGGTTTGATGGTGAACTATTATGCAAGGCGAGGAGACATGCATCGTGCACGTGAAACATTTGAAAGTATGCGAGCGAGGGGAATAGAGCCAACCTCACATGTATATACCAAGTAATTATTTCCTGTAAATTGTTTTATGTTTATAATATTGTTTTCTTCTAGTTACAAGAATTACATAGATTAGGTCACTAGACTCACTACTTCAAAAATTAAAATTGTTTATTTCATGCAGCCTTATTCACGCCTATGCAGTTGGTAGAGACATGGAGGAAGCATTGTCTTGTGTTAGGAAAATGAAGGAAGAGGGCATTGAGATGACATTGGTAACATATAGTATACTTGTTGGAGGATTTGCTAAAATTTGCAACACTGAGTAAGTAAACCTTAGAAAAGTTTGCCATTCTATTTTTAGTATTTGTTTAGTGATGAGCAAAGTGCCTATTAGGTTTTATGCATAATGTTGAACATTATCCAGTAGACTAGCACTCACTACTCAGGGTCTTGCATCAGTGGACAGTTTTTCAATGTATAAATGAAAAAAAGAAAAAGAAAAAAAATAATTATTAACATTATTCTTTGTACTCAGAAACCTAGGTGCCTGTTGCTCCCCTACTGTGGACATGCATTATTGAATACTCGTATCATATTTAATTGGATGCACTAATGTGGTTAACGTTCGTTTTCTGCATCTTCCTTGTTAACATTCATTTTCTTGTCGTCATAGTTACCATGCCACTGGCTGGAAAATGTATTTTCATCTTTATGAACTAATATCTTTTGTTGTTTTGGAAGAGCTGCAGATTATTGGTTTAAGGAGGCAAAAGAGAGACATACAACTTTGAATGCAATCATATATGGCAATATCATATATGCTTATTGGTGAGTGTTATGTCTCTGTTGAGATGCATGCTGGCTGATATGGTTTTAGTATATGTATCTATATATTTTCTTTGTTATTGTAACAAAAACTTTATGTTTTGTACCTAATTTTTTCAATTACAGTCAAACATGCAACATGGAACGAGCTGAAGCTTTGGTGAGGGAAATGGAAGAAGAAGGTATTGATGCCCCTCTTGATATTTATCATACAATGATGGATGGTTACACAATGATTGGCAATGAAGAAAAATGCCTGATTGTGTTTGAAAGACTTAAGGTAAAAGTTTCTTTCATAAAATCTTGTCGTTACCTTAAAGCATATAAAGTTTCTACCTGCCCTGGAAGTATCAATTAAGCTGCATGTGACATGCTAGTTCTATCTCATCTATTCTACCAAATTTGTTTTATCTATTGCTTTGATCAATTTTCACACCTCTTTGACCTTCATGCTGACATTGCCTAGAAATTTGCTGCAGGAATGTGGGTTTACTCCATCAGTTATCAGTTATGGATGCCTTATCAATCTTTATACTAAGGTAAGGCACATTC